TACAGTTCTATGTTTTCTACGTCAGTGACATCATCTCTCAGCAGCGGGTGATGTTTTGTATCTCAGGTCAATTGTATTTAATTTTTTTATGTTTTTGTCAAACCTGATGGAAATGTGTTGGTTTCCTCGCTGCTCTGACATCATCAGTTTTTCTTCCTTAACGAACCAATCGGCTTCTGTTGCTGGAGCAGCGAGGCTCATCGTCTGGAGGCCTTCGGTCAGGGGGAGTCCGTCCTGCAGGGGGCGCCGCTGGACGAGCTGGAGGACAAACTGCACTTCTTTGTGGAGGAATGTGATTATCTTCAGGTACCCTTCCTCCTCCTCCTCTTCCTCCTCCTCCTCCTCTTCCTCCTCCTCCTCCTCTTCCTCCTCCTCCTCCTCCTCCTCTTCCTCCTCCTCCTCCTCTTGGACCTCCCACAGATCTTCTGTGTCTGTCTCAGGGTTTCCAGGTCCTGTGTGACCTGGCGGACGGGTTCGCGGGCCTGGGGTCGAAGGTCACAGAGCTGCTGCAGGACTCGTATGGGGGGAGGGGGATCCTGACGTGGGGGCTGGCTCCTGTGGGCCACCGGGACTCGGTGAGTGACGGCGGCGGCGGTTGTGGTTCGGGGGCGGCGGGTGTTTGGTGATCAGAACTGTCCTGTGATTCAGAGTCCGGTCCGGGATCTTTACCACCTGCTGAACTGCGCTCTTGGCTCCGCCCACATGGCCGCTCACAGCTCGCTGTTCTGCCCGCTGACGCTGCGGGGGGGCCTGGGCAGGCGACCCGCCCCCCCTCCACAGTTTCCCCTCCTGACCTACGATGTGAGTAACCTGGTGGGGGGGAGGGGCGGTCTCTCTAACTGAAGCTCCGCCCTCTGACGCTCCTCCTCCTGCGTCTTTCTGCAGCCGGCGCTCTGGTACCACTCCAGCTCGGTGCTGGCTCTGGCGCTGGACGCCCTCACCGTGCCCTACAGGCTGAGGAACAACGGCGCCCCCATGTGGCAGGTGGCGGACTCCCTGGCCGTGTCGGGCAGGAAGGTAAGGCCCCTCCCCTCCTCCCGCCCTCCCGTCCGATTGTTTCATTAATCGGGTGACGTGTCCCAGGTGGTGGCCGCCTACGGCGCCGTCCCGTTTCCCATGATGCCCGGCGGGTCTCTGCCCGACGCCCTGAGTGCCTGCTCTGATGCGTTGCCGTGGAAACCCCTGTCAGCTTGCCCTGAAGGGGGCGACGGTCGGTGCTACGGCCAGTGGGCCACGCTGAGAGGCTTCGAGGGACAGGAGCTCATCAGGTCAGTTTGTTCTCATTGATCCGGTTTTCCCAGGATCCAGGCTCCCGTCCTGGAAAAGTCTGGAAAACTTTCCAGGACCGGATAAAAGGAAATAGGGTTGGTTCAGAGGTTTAAAGTTCTGATGGAAACTCCGGAGGTTTGGAGTGTAGAACCCTGCAGATGTCGGTGACGCCCCACAGCATCATGCTTCCACCACCATGCTTCTCTGTCAGAGTGGAGGCCAAACATCTCGGTGTTGTTTAAGATGTTTCTTTCAAAATGTTTTTGACAATAAAGTGATTGATCAATTGATCTGCTGATCCTGGTTCCATGAAGCTCCGCTGTTTGGGTCCATCAGGTCAGGAGGTGACCTGACCACAGCTGGACTCCAGAAACACCTCAGCAGACTTGGAGACATGGTGGTCCCCCTCCAGGTCTTTATGAACCTTTACAGGAAGTGATGTTTTTCCAGCTGCTTCCTGTCATTCGTCCTGCAGAGAAGCTTCCAGAGTTGGATTTGATTTATCAGCGTTTTTTCCTGGTTCGGTAACGGCCGATAGATGCAGGCGTCGGCCGAATCATCTGTGCGTTCAGCATTGGAGCCTTAACATCATGTGACGGACATGTTGTGCTGCTTCCTCCATCAGATTCCTGTTATTGATGTTTCCTTTCATCTGTTTTTAAATAAACATTAGTTATTTTTTATTATGTATGTCTGTAAATGGAGGAAGATAAATCACCACAGGAATTGATTAGACTGATGTCTAAATAATCGGCCTTAGGGGTCCCTTTGGGCGTCTGGGGCTTTGGGTCGCCCGGCGCTGGCGGGGCGCGTCTTTAGCTCTCCACAACCACCATTGAACATTTTCCCTTTGAAAAACTTTACATGCACAACTGCACTCTCATAAACTACAGGTGTTTGGTTCCAGGTACTCAGAGATTCACTTCTACACAGAAAGCCCATATTCTGATCTTCAGCTACTACAGTATACATGTCAGATTAAATAATACTACTTATACTTCAGCGATAGTATCTAGGTGTTACTTTATTGTATCTCTTATATCCGCTGGTTGTTCTGTTCTTTTTCCATCTCTTTGCAGGTGATGAAGCAGACTGGAGATGTTTTATCATTATCTCCATTTTATCTCCTCTTTCTTTCATCTTTTCTCCTTTTTTTTCTGTTTTTCCTTTCCTGTTCTACTTACATTGCAGCGTCCATATAATCTGTAAAACTCCCTGCATAATTATAATGAAGCTATTTCTATGCATAAATCAAACTGAAACACATAGCCGTACTGCTCCACTGGTGAAAGGAAAATCTGTTGGGCTCTTTTTGGCATCAAGATAATTATTCTTATTGCCACATCGCCAGACAGGAGACTGTAAATTATAATAAATAATTGGCTTTAAAGGAAAAGTCCGGTCAGGAAGGAATAATTAAAGGTTTATTATTTCTATCTAAAACTAAAACGTTTTCTGTGATGTAATGAATTTGGGACTAACGGGATCTCTGCGTCTCCATCAGCCGTCCGTCTCCAGGAATCAAACCTCAGACTCCTCTGCACACCCTCCACAGCGGGGAGGACGTCCTCGCCGCCTACGTCTCGTCCTTCTACCCGTCTGCTCCTCTGTGAGTCTCCACGCCCCCCCCCCTGCTGTTTCTCTATGTGAATGAACCATAGTCTTCATCAGTCTTCATCCCCCCCACAGGGCCCTGCAGCTGGTCTCCTCCCCCAGTAAGCTGACCCCTCCCTTCCCGCAGATCTTCAGCCCGTCGCTGGACGCTCAGGGCTTCCTGAGGAGCCTGGCGCCCCCTCCTGGCGGTGAGTGTTTCTCCCTCCCTCCTTCCTTCCTTCCCTCCCTCCTTCCTTCCCTCCCTCCCTCCCTCCTTCCTTCCCTCCCTCCTTCCTTCCCTCCTTCCTTCCTTCCCTCCTTCCTTCCTTCCCTCCCTCCTTCCTTCCCTCCTTCCTTCCCTCCCTCCCTCCCTCCCTCCTTCCTTCCCTCCCTCCTTCCTTCCCTCCCTCCCTCCCTCCCTCCTTCCTTCCTTCCTTCCCTCCTTCCTTCCTTCCCTCCCTCCCTCCCTCCTTCCTTCCTTCCTTCCTCCTCCCTCCTTCCTTCCTTCCCTCCTTCCTTCTGTAACCGAGTCGTCTCTGCAGCGCCGAGTCCGCCCATCTCCTCGGTTCCTGTCCTGACGTCGCTGCAGTCCGGACCCGCCCTTCATCCCTGGCTCTCTGAGCTGCACCGCTCCGCCAGCGCCTTCGACATCCGCCGACTGGCCCCCAGCTTCCTGTCCCAGGGGCCTGAGATGGCTGACTACCAGGAGGCCCTGGAGGACCTGCGGCTGCTGGCTCGCTGTTACCGTGACGACAGCAGCGGCGCCATGCGGTCTTCCTCTGAGGAAGAGGATGATGACTGAGGGGGGGTTCTGTGATCAGGGAGGATCAGAGGGTTGAGGAGGCGAGGACCGCCACGCCGCGGCGTGGGAACATCAGAGAGCTGCTGTTCTACAGGAGCCGGATCGACCCAGAACCGGGTCTTCATCTGCCTCAGACTGAACTTTACAGCCATGATGTCACTTCCTGTGAAATAAATTCACAGGGAAGGTTCAGATTAAAGCAGAGAAACGGGGAAACCTTTGTCTCTGAAGATCCATACGCTTTTCTGATTGGACGGCGACAGTTTCGGCCGTCCAATCAGAGGCTGGGCAGACCCAGAGGAGCAGAGCAGCAGCCAATCAGCTTTCAGATCAGATTATTATATAAAATATGAAAATGATAAGTTCGAACGCATTCGGTGTCCGACCTTACGGTTCCTTATTGTTCCCTAAAATGCTTTTTCATCCATAATCCTCCTCATAAAATAAATAGTTTTTCAAAGATTGTCATTTCTAGAAGAGTTAATCCACAAATAAACAATCTGAGATGTAGAATATGATGAAACATCCAAAGCAGAGGTGCTTCTAGTCCTGAGCTCAGAAACACTTTAATTAATCACTGATTTAATCTATTAAATGACTTTTTAATGATCTTCTGTAGATTAAACTCCACATTGAGGAGAAATAATCCAATTTGAGCCAATTTCAACGCATCATTACTGATGTCAATGCAACCAATTTAAAATACTTATTAGATTTTAAAGGAAAGATTCAAGTTTAAAATATTACAGAGAGAACAGTTTAACTTCTGTTCTCAATCAGAACCGATTCCAGATGTTTGACGATTCGTCTACATTAAGAAATGGGAGGAAAATATTAGTTTTATTTTTAGAGTGCATTCATTTTCATTTTGTTCCTGTATTTTTTTCTAATGTTTACTTTTCTTCTTTCAAACGGTTCAATTTTGTTTTTTCTTTTGTTCACTTGCAAATAAACTAATAAAGGATTGCCTCCAGTGTCTTTGCTTAAAAATAATGTTTTTAGGTGTAATTGTGACAATTTATGGTTTATTTCACTTCATGTGTGAATAAACATGTTTTTTGGTGCAGTTTGTTCAGACTGTAAAAGCAGTTGGGTTCTCTGCAGCTTTCATAGAGGGGCGGGGTGCCTTCATGCCGCCATGCTGTGAAGCTTCCTTCTGATTGGTCGACAGCTCCTCCTGTTTCACGTGAACAGGTCCAGAACAGAACCTGTGCATAAAGGACTGGCTCTGCTGAACCTTTAGGGAAACTGAGTTTATCAGCATGCGTGTTACCATGGTAACCCTGTGATTTCTCCAAAGGGAGCGAGATGAAAAGCTGGGAGGACAGTTTATTTCATTTATTAGTGAGATGAATTGAAGTGCTGAAAATGACATGAAAACAGGAGTAAAGAAAAGAATAAAATGATTTTTAAGTAGAAGAAAGTCGGATTAAAAACTAGAAGCTGCTTCTTCATGTTTGGTTCTGATCCAGGAAATTTCTGCTGTTTTCAGCAGCAAAGTTTATAGAAAACATGGTCACACAAATGTGGACCTGTAATAAAATGTATAAAAATAACATAATAATGAAGAGTTAAAAGATAAACAGCAAAATACTGTAAAGTGTTTTAATATACATTTTTTTAATTAAAGCTAAAATTAAACCCTGGAAAACAACTTTAAAAAAAGAAATTTTCCCCCCAAAATTAACTTTTTATTTTTTACCAATTTCCTTATTTTTAAATCACATCCTCTTCACTTCAAGCCCATTAAAAATGTGTCCTACAGAAATGCGTCGTCTTGGTGAATGGAATGCTGGAGATTGGCCTGTTTTCCAGTGTAGTCCTGTTTCTCTGACTGTGACTAACTGGATGTGCTCTCTTCATCCTCTGACATGGGAGCTGGCTCGGAGCTCGTCTGCCTGGCTGTGTGTTTCCTGGACGGGGCCGCCTGTGGAGCTGGTTGACAGTTGCCTTTTGTATCTATGCTTCTTTTTCTATGTCTGCTTCTGTCTCCTTGAACCCCAGTGGGCCTCAGCAGATGGCCGCTCACACTGAGCCTGGTTCTGCTGGAGGTTTCTTCCTGTTCAAAGGGAGTTTTTCCTCTCCACTGTCGCTACAAGCATGCTTAGTGTGAGGGATTGCTGAAGAGTCAATGAGTCGATGCAATCAGCTGGTTTTCCTTAGATAGAAAACTTTGAATCAATCTGACTGGATGATCTGGTGAACTGGAAAGTGACCTGAGATGACATGATGTGAATTGGAGCTATAGAAATAGACTGAATAGAATTGAATGTGATGGGAAATTAATTCAGAAGTTTTCTCCCAAAATGTAAGAAGTTTTTCAAGTCTTTATTTCTGTATCACATTTTTTCCCCAAAACCTCAATTTACTAAACATTCTAGCAAAATTCACTACATAAACATTCAGACTGATTCGATTGGAGGAAAACAGAGTTTTTTCAGATTCAAGCGTTGATCTGCGTTCACACTGCAGCCTTGATGCTTCATCCCAATTGTTTTGGGCAAATCAGATTTTTTTGTGTTGCCGTTCATATTTCCAAATACATGCGACTTTATGTGATCTCCTGTGTGATCTGCAGTCATACAGCATTAACTGTCCCGCATGCGCAGTAGAGGACGCAATGATGTCACAGGTAGCCAGCATGATGTGTTTACAGAAGTAAACATGGATGGTAGCGCTGGAGCGCAACTAAGGTTTGCCAACCTTAAAACAAAAAAAAATAGTGACCTTTAAGTAATATTGAGATAAAGGTCGGATGAATGCGACCTGGCCGTTCAAACACACAAACTCGCATTTAGATTCGTATCGGATTCAGGACCACAGAGCAAAGCGGCCTGGGTCGCATTGGGAAAAAAATTTGGATAAGAGTTTTTTTAGACTGTTATGAAAAGATCAGATCCAGGTCACATTTGTACGGAAGCGTATTGCATTCGCCGAAGGAAAAAAAAGATCTGACAGCTTATCTCGTAATTACGAGACCTTTTCTCATTATTACGAGATAATATCTGATTTGGGTCACTTCAGGCTGCAGTGTGAACGTAACCAAAGTCTGCTGGATCAGTGTGGAAACTTTTCATGCTAACCTGTTCCAACCCGCGTCGATCCAGACTGAAAGCGCTGCTGGTTCTCTATATTAGCATGCCGTCCTGTGAGCTGGACTTTCTGGGACGATAATTAGGACTGGATCTGGATGGAGACCTGGAGCAGGACCCCTATAAAAGTGACTATTCTGCATCCTGCTACACAGAAGATGGAAGAAAAACACCAACCATGGCAGGCGATGATGCAGGGAGCAGTGTTTATGTTTAACCATCTTGAAAAGGTCGAGTTAAGGTTGATAAAGATCGCTAGATGCGCTCCAGCGCCACCATCCATGTTTACTCCTGTAAACACAAAGCTCGATGGCTACCTGTGACATCATAGTGTCCTCTACAGCGCATGCGGGACACTTCAGTGGTATGAACGCAGCTCACACAGGAGATCACATAAAGTCACATATATTTGGAAATCTTAAAAAATAAAATCTGAACTGAGCATCAAGGCCTGCATTTGGAGCGCAGCGTTAGTCGGTTCTGTTGACTCCAGACAAAATGTAATCCTTTGGCTTCAGTCTGAACGTTTATGCAGGTTCTGCAGATCGTCTGATGTGAACTCCTGGACCGGATCGCATCCTGCTGCGTAGAAACGGACCAATCAGAAGCAACTGGTTGAAAACAGACACTTTATTCTGAACCGAAATTCAACAAGGATTGAACGGACCAGGAATCTCATTCCCAGCCAGCGGCTTGGCTTCTACATCAGATAAAAAAAAAAAAAAAGAACACAGAAACACAGACCATCATCAGAACTTATAAAAACCAGATCCCCTCTGCGTTTCACAAACATCTACTGGAAAAGAGGCGGGGTCAGAGTTAAATGAAGGGGGCGTGTGCTGAAGGAGCCGGCTGCTCTACAGGTACTTATCAATAACCTGGTCGGGCGTCGGAGGGGAGCGGGAATGTAAATGGGGGCGGGGGGGATCGTGATGCACAGTCCAGGATCTGAACTAGGAGCGAGAACGGGAACGAGAGCGGGAACGGGACTTGGAGCGGGACTCGGAGCGGGAACGAGAGCGAGAACGGGAGCCGGCTTTGGCCGGAGACGCAGACGGCGATTTGGACTTGGACTTGGGTCTGGGCTCGTCCGGAGAGCGGGAACGGGAGCGGGATGCCCTCTCGGCGTCGCCCGCCTCGTTGTCGCTCTTGGGCGGCTCGCGGTCCGGTGAGGTGGACTTTCTGGGGCGATCTTTAGGGCTGGATCTGGATCGGGATCTGGAGCGGGACCTGGAGCGGGACCTGGACCTGGAATCCTCCTTCTTGGCAGACTTCCCCTCCTTCTTACTCTTTTTGCTCTTGGGGCTGCGGCTGCGACTGCGGCTGCGACTGCGGCTGCGACTGCGGTCGTCGTCCTTCTGAGCGCCGTTGCTGCGCTCTTCCTCGTCTTTCTTGTTCTTGCTCTTGTTCTTCTTGCTGCGAGATCGGCTGCGGGATCGTGAAGCGGCTCTGAGCAGAGGAAAAAAAAAAGATGTCAGTCTATTTCAAAGTCGCCATTTTCATGGTTCTGAGCTTTTAAAGTAGCCTGGGTGCCATTCCGAACTTAGTCCCGCCCACAAGGTTTGAGTTCGGGGAAGTTCGGTCTGGCTCTGCTCCATAGTAGCGCGAGTATTATCGCCCACTGTCAGGCGATCCAATCAAATTGTCAGGGCGGGCTTTATACGATGATGGACAGATGATCAAGAGTAACGTTATCAACCACGTGACCAAAGCGCGCTTGGGCGACAACAACAATGGCTGCCGCCGGAGAGTTTGGGTGAGTAGATTCTGCTATTAGGTCTGTTCTAGAAAATATCGACAGCAAATTAATTTTAAAAGAGGAACAGAGAAACGCGATCAAGGCTCATCTGCTTATTCTAGGCGTGCAACTGCACGCTTTGATTTTTGTGGACAACAACTATGCCTCGCTTAACATACGTCATGCACTCCGTTGCTCTTATTGGTTGTAGGTCTATCCAATTGAGTGCAGAGGCATTTTTTTTCTGGTTCGTTCAAAACACGCCCCATAATCACAGCTCTATGGAGCAGCATCAGACTCATATTCTGACTAGAATTGAGGAGGACTACGTCAGGCTACTTTTAAAGGGAAAGAACTTTAAATTAATCACATCCTGTTTCTGTTTCCTTCATTTTAACGTCGTTTTTTAACAAGATAAAAATATCTCCCCCAGACGTCATTTTACGGCTCTATTAGCTTAACTTTAAATACTTAAGGCGGTTGATTGACATTGGGTACCGTTGCCTAGCAACCAACATTTTATCTAGAACTCTTTGGCTAATACAGAGAAATGTCTTTCAGGAGAAATCTAACCGCGAAACAGGCTTTAGAAATGATTTATAGTATAAATGTCGGGGATTTGGGCGGAGTAGCGGCATGGGTTTTGCGATACGATATTATTACTTTATAACAATATTACTATATATTGCAATATTTGTCCTGCTATCGAAATTAAATGCATAGATAAAAAGCAACCTCTAGATGTTCATCGGGTGATATTGATCGTTCAGTCAATCCCCGTCTTCCACTCTGACCGCCTCAACTACAGATACGCTGCTGCGCCGCACAGCTGATGGGCTCCACAGCGCCACCTGCCAGAGTGTGCAGAGGAAGCCCATTTTCACTCAGTTTTAATCCTTTATAGAGAAAGTTGGCCTTTTTGACCCCCCCGTCCCTCAGTGAGTATGGAGGACCAACTCTGTTATATTTAAAAATAAATACGGAAATAAATAAATGCTCAATAAATAATCATACAATAAACAAATAAATGTAAGTAGAAATTAAATTATACAGTGAGACATAAATGTATATAACTCTTAATTAGCTCCTTTATTTATTTGTCTTTGAAATATTTACCTCATTTATTTTTTGTCCTTTATAATCATCAACTTTATTTTTTAATTACTTTTATTTTTAAGTATTTATTTATGTGCATGTTATAATATTTGTCTGTTTTATTCCTTAGAGCTAAAGCAAAGCGACAGTTTGAGCAAATGTTACTCAGCGTGTTTATATGGAATCTGATCATAATGAGCGTCAGACATTAACCTGCGGTATCAATTGTTCAAACTTTCCTAAACATCCCTGCTGAGTTTGGAGACGATGAATTATTTCTGCCCTCCAGTATTAATTTAAATAAGTCTTGTTCTTGTGAATCATTGCAGCTCTAGATCATAAATTCTTTCTCTGGAATAAGAACAGTGGTTGGAAACTGTGACGGTAGCTTGAGCAGGAAGCTAGCAGGTGAAAGCAGGGAAGAGGCGGGCTCACCTGGAGCGGGATCGGCTGCGGCTGCTGCTCTCGCTGCGGCTGCGGCTCTTGTGAGACCTGCGGCTCCTGGAGCGAGACCTGCGGGAAGAGGGGCGGAGTTTCACCAAAGCTCGGTTCTTCACCTGAAACGCCACCGGAGGGCGGTCTCCTACCTGGAGCGGCTGCGGGAATAGGAGCGGCGGCGCCTGGCGCCGGGACGATCCTCGATGAGGCGGATCTTCCTGCCGTTCACCTCTGTGCCGTCGAGCTTCTCCAGAGCCCTCTTCATGTCGGAGTACTGCCTGAACTCGATCACGCCCTCATTCTTGCGGCCCTTGTGGGTGTCGGCGTACGTCACCTCCCCCGCCTGCCTCATGTAGTCCTGAGGACCATAAAACGCAGATAATGACGCCTGCAGGGATCCCTGGGTGAATCCAGCCACGCCAAATCATTTCCCACCTTTAAGTCCTGCCAGCTGCAGCGGCTGGAAAGATTCTCAACAATGAGCCGGTAATCGGTCCGGACAGGTGGACCGTACCTGTCCCTTCCTCCCCAGCGCCCATATCCACCTTTCAAGGTAACAAGCAAACAGAGAGAGAAGTGAGAAGAAGAAAGAAACAGACAGGAAACAATCATTCTACGCTCAAAGCTACAGCCTACAGTAAAATCTCAATAATCAGTTGGGAAAAAGAAACATAGGGGAAAAGCAAAAGGAGAAAAAGACTTAAAAACACAAGATATCAATCCTAAAAGTCCCTAAATCTCCTCTAAAATCTGAACTTTAAACAGAAGAACTGCACAGTTTAAACTTTGAACAGGTTGGCCTGATTTAATCAGAAGAATTAAAGTTAAAATCATAACAGCAGGAGGATGCTGAGCTAAAGCATGTGGCTAAGCTAACCTATCTAACAACATTGACTGTTAGAAAACATGTTGTTTTTTTTAGGCACCTATTAGAGCTGAACCCACATCTGCTCCTAACCCCATGGCATCCTCACCACCCGGCCTGGGCCTAATGGGAAAAGCGGTCTTCATTCACAATGGCTCCCTTTTTTGGTCTGCCCAGGGGCCCAGAATGGTCAAACCACACTCTTGGAAAGGGGGGACACCATGGCCAGCAATAGGGGCAGGCAGTCAGCAAAGGACTCTTTCAATTAAAACATTGAGGTTCTTTGTTAAATCTTTACCTTTAAATTCACAATCATTTTATATGAATAAAACTGAATAAGACAGCAAGAAATGACATGATATTTAGACATTTAAATTAGCATTATCATTTCCCCCCCCTCCCATAATCACATCAGTAAATGGTGGCTCAGATGTACAGAAATTAATGGAAACATAAAGTTAACCTATAAAAACATGAACAGCTGCTGGATTAAGAGACAGAAATAGAGACGGTTCCGTCATGAATGGAGTTCAGTTTTAGGGTCATTAAAGGAATAGTACACCCAAAACATGATTAGCCTTCATTTTCTACTCACCTCCATGCTGAACAACACTCTGGAGTACTTTTTTGATATCTCAAATGCATCTGGAGATCTGGGAGGCTTCTTGCTGTCTGCTGACATTCAAATAATGGAGGTCCATGGCGCCCGAGACAGAAAGGTCCATAAAAGTCCACAAAAACGTGTCAATATTCCTCCATACTGCTCGTCCAATGTAATCCAAGTGTCCTGAGTGGGTAGCATCCAGAATTTACTCGAAACGAAGTCATTTAGAATGTTTTTAGAGCATAAACAGTAGTGTATAGGATTTCCTAATAGCGCCCCCATGCGCGCTCACGATTCTACGGAAGCCGGCAGACCAAACCGGAAGGAAGTGCGCATTCAGCGTCTGGTCTGCCGATAATGCAAGCGTAGAAGAAGAAATGTGCTGTTTACCTGTGCAAAGAAAGAAACAACGAAAGAAAAATGTCTGAGGACTTCAGTGTTGAGGAAGAGCATGAGTTCTTTGCTGAGCTGAATGCGCTGGTTTGGTCTGCCGGCTTTCGTAGAATCGTGAGCGCGCATGGGGGCGCTATTAGGAAATCCTATACACTACTGTTTAGGCTCTAAAACGTTCTAAATGACTTCGTTTCGAGTAAATTCTGGATGCTACCCACTCAGGACACTTGGATTACATTGGACGAGCAGTATGGAGGAATATTGACAAGTTTTTGTGGACTTTTGTGGACCTTTCTGTCTCGGGCGCCATAGACCTCCATTATTTGAATGTCAGCAGACAGCAAGAAGCCTCCCAGATCTCCAGATGCATTTGAGATATCAAAAAAGTACTCCAGAGTGTTGTTCAGCATGGAGGTGAGTAGAAAATGAAGGCTAATCATGTTTTGGGTGTACTATTCCTTTAAGGTTTCAGCTGCACCCGATGAAAACATGCATTACTAACAGGTTACTGGAGGAGAAACAGGTGAGACACAGAAACCAGGTAGATTATTCCTACTTCCATGCACAGGATGAAGGTAGGAATAAAAAGCCTGAGAAACATCCTCCTTCCCGCCGCGCTCGCATACGTCCCGCTGAACACCGGCGCAGGCGTGTTAATTAACCAGAACTCAAGTCAAGATCAACGATTTCAAATCGCACCAAACAGGAAACAAAACGCTGAGAAGATCCGGTTTATCCGATAAAAATATGGTGACGACAGATCAGTGAGCATTTGCTCACTGCTGCACTTTAACAAACGGAAATGTCATGAGAGCTGCACAAAAAACAAATTTGTTTAGTGCACAAAATGACATTAAAGTCTGTCTAAGTCTATTAAATTAAAGAATGCAAACTATTGGTACTTCAACACACCAGGAAGCAGATTTCTCATCTCCATCAAAATATTTATTTTTTTTTAATCAAATTCAGTCCAAACAGCTTCCAAGAGCAAATCTCATTACTTTAAAACAAACTTTTTCTATGAGGCATGGAGGAGACGACACTGCAGGGGTCCTACAGTATGAGGAAAGTTCAATTTAAGACTTTAAGCCATTTGAAATAAGCTAAATCCAACTTCACAACAAAGATGAGAAAAACCTGGTAGTGAAATATTTATTTTAGCATAAACCGTTGCTTTAAGGGACAGAAATATTTCCAACAACTACTGAACTGAATTTACCAACTTTAGTTTTGTTTTAAACTCAAATCAACAATTTTAACTAATTTTCATTTCTCAATTTTAGGGCTTCCATGTATAAGAAACATGAAAACATTAAGAATATGTTAAAAAGTTCTCTTTTCGTTCATATTTTAATCTGTTTTCTCAACAACGTGTGAGACTTTAGTTTTGTTTTTATCATAACATCATTTTTATTGGTTCCTTTTATCGGGATGAAACCAGTAATGGTTCCAGCGAGTCGTTTGGTAATCTTAAACAAAGATATTAATATTTCAATGTTTGATGTGGATTATAAAATAAATAAAATTTATGATGTGGTAACAATTTAAGACTGATTTAAGACATTTTAATACCAATTAAGGCCTTAGTTTAATATGGAGGAATTAAATGCTTTTTAAGGGTTTTTCAGGATCTGCATGAACGCTGTGCTGATTATGGACGTAGAGAACAAACCAGTTCATGATCCTAATTATCCTTTATTACAAAGATCCTGATGGGGAGACTTAATTACAGTAGTAGCCAATCAAAATTCCCCCACTTTCCTTGGCTGGTCGCCTACACTTCCCCTTTAAACATCATTCTTTGTACTAAAATATTATTTCTTTCATGATTTGTGGACATTAAGATCTAAAGAGTAGCACCATCTCCTGGCCAGTCTCTGTAATTCAGAGTGGCTGGAAGCTGGAGGGGATTTTGCTGGGAGTTGGAGGGAAGTGGGCCGCCATTCGGCTGGCGTCTGACTGGGAAGCGCCATTTTGAATGGCTGCTACCGTATGTCATTAAAGCAAGCGTTCATTTCCACATGTTTTTTTCCGTATGAATTAAATAATATCCGACATGCTCTCCTGGAGACGTGAGAAACCACGGAGGCTGTAGGCGACGCTTGGCGCAGGCGGTCTGCAGCGGAGCGGGGAGGTTTCGGAGGATTAGGGGTTAATCTGCTTCATTTAGTCCTAAAACTGGAGCAGAAACTTCTAGTTTATCTCTTCCTGCCGTTTGTCTTAAACTCAACAGCCATGTTTGGACAAACGTCTCCAACTGCTGCAGATGAACAAGAACGAGAGTTCGATCAACGTCCCCAGCCTGGTTGAGGCTTCTAGATCTCAGTCTACGGGTTAGAGGTCCTAAACTTCACTAAACCCCCCCCGTCTCCTTATCTATGACCCCCCCACCGCTCACAGAAGCAGACGGGTATTAATTCCATGCACATCAGCCACCAACAACAAGCTTTAAATCTCTACCCCTTTATATTCGATCAATTCATGAGAAAAAAAGACAAATACTGGCTGTGAGACTCACTCCGTCCTCCGCTGTAGCCCCCGTCACGCCGCGGGCCCTTGGTGTGCTCCACGATGACCCTCTCACCGCACAGCTCTTTGCCGTTCAGGTCGTACACGGCGTCATCAGCGTCCCGAGGGTCATCAAACTCCACGAAGCCGTACCTGCAGGGAAAAATTCATCCAGGAAATATTTACACCAAAACGTCCAAGAATTTATTTAGTTAAAGCCGCCGGGAAGCGGCCGTTCCAACCGCTGCATTTCCGAATTCTACCGAGTGGTGCTCGACTTTACACGAGTGAATACAGTTTGGTTGTGGCCGATTTGTTGGAAGCATCTTGCTAACCAGTTAGCATCTTAGTGCTAGCAGGTTCCCAATGGGAAATTCCATTGGGACCAAGTGGCACTAAATTGGTGACTTAGAAACGACGCTGTCAAGGAACGCTATGGACAGCGAAAACATGCAAGAGGAGGAGAGTTTAGTGTCGGAGGTCGTGGATGAGTCTCCTCCGTCATCCATTTTTTATTTAGAGGAGGAAAGCGGGGACGAAGATGTTGTGGAAGAGGACGCCAGGGCGGCAGAAGCTAGGTTTGGTGTAGAAGGCTTCCAGCCGTACATGTTTGAGCCCTTGCCTCGCAACGCTGCCAGTTCTGTTAGCTCTACGCCTGCCGAAGACACAGACGTCCATCCCCGTGAACACTGGGACGCAACTCAATGGGAAAGGAAAGGATTCTGGTTTCAACCGTTGCGTATATTAGCTGCGACACATGAATCAAGATGCTATGACCGAAAACATTTGATTGACAGATGACCGTTGATACATGATTGGCTGAATTTAGGTGTTCAGGCTGACGTAGAACTAACTGGCCTGCAGAAGATAACGGGAAAAACACAGATTTTAAGACAGGATTTTTTTTCAAAATGGAAATTTTCTATAAATTTTCAATTTTGGGGCAATCTTGTCTGATAAAGAGAATATTTATATACGTGTTTAAGCCAGAATGATTTAACATTTAAATATGATTTCCCTTCGAATTTAAATGTAATTAAATTTAAAAGGATTTTCTTTAACATCAACAGGGAGATAGAAACAAACAGCGGTCCATAGAAAACATTATTTCTCCTTTATGGAATCATATTTTTATTTCTTTTTTTTGTACTACCAGAAATTAAACAAGGCTCCAAAGGTTCAAATTAACATTTTACTGTTGTTGTTTTTTTTTTAAGCAGTTGTTTTTTTCCGTTATAGTTTAACATAATCTCTCTGTATGTTTATGATGGGTCAGGATTTCCAAACTGTTATTAATTATTAACATTAATCTTATCTTCTATAGTGAATCTTGCCTGTTTACTGACTTTAAAACAGAATATTAATGACTTATTTTAATAATTAAGAACATATTATAGTGAATACTTCCCCTTTTCCCTGAATATAACAGGAACTAGTTTAATAATTTTAATGATTATTTCAGCTCATTTCCCTCCCAGACCAGCGGCTCGGTCCCTCCTCTCTCTGCCACGTCTGAACGCCAGCCTGCCGGCCGCACACGGCGGGCCGCGCCGCTACAACAATGAGCCGAGCCGCGGAAGGCCTTCCAACTGCGCCTTATCTCAACAATTAATCACATAAACGTGACGCAAGCATCGCCGGGAATCAGGCAGACGCGTTTTTCTCTCGTCGGACATTGTGAATAAACATGCTAACATGCTAACTAGCATTAGCAGCAGGCCTGTTCACGCAGACAATAAGGCCCGGGAAGCTGCTTCTCCGCCCGCCCGCCACCTCACCCGTTCTTCAGGTCCACTTCCAGAATCTTCCCGTAACCCTTGAAGAACCGCTCCACGTCCTTCTCCCTCGCCCTGTAGCTCAGCCGTCCGATATAAACCCGCGACATGTTGGGGATCCTGTTAGCTAACCGACAGCTGCCGAAAGAAAGAGAACCGCGAGCCGAAAGGAGGGCGCGCGACACGGACAAGCTCTTCTTCTTCTTCTTCTTATGGGATTTTATGGCGGTTGGCAGACTTGTGAATTGTGCATTACCGCCACCAACTGATATGGAGTAAAGCAAGAAAACAGGAAACGATTCACCCCCCCAAAAAAAAAAAAAAAAAAAAAAAAAAAAAAAAAAAAAAAAAAAAAAAAAACCTGTGTAACTTAAACCAACATAATACTAAATCACATTTGCCCATATAATTTTAATTTACTCTAGGTCATCTTAACTCTGCCAGTTTCTGATGGTCCCATCGGTCCTCCCATCATACTTCCAACCATCTCCCAGTTCAAATCTTTAATGTCCAGATATTTTTCTGCAGCCTTCACTATTATTTTGATTTTTTCCGTTTTTTTTGTTGTCTGTGCAGTACAATTAATAACTTCTACCATGAAAAGAACAAAATTTGTCTTTTTAACAATAAGTGAGTCTTCATCAATTTTTAGAGATTTCTCTAGAGGTTTGGAATTTGCTGTGTGTTGAACTGTAGGTTTGCACGGACAAGCTCTGCTCTGATTGGCTGGTGAAGGACGAGGGGCGGGGCTTACAAACGTTTGTTTGGTGGAAAAGGTTTTAGTTCAAAACTTAGAAAAGATAATTTATCGATAAAATGATGGATTAGATCCAATCCTCGATTTAATATTCAGCCTGAAGGCAGAAGGTCTGGATGACCTACAGGAGTTAAAATGAACACTGAGCGGATGGATAATAATAATAATAATAATAATAATACATTTTATTTGTATTGCACTTTACATTTAAAAAAAATCTCAAAGTGGATGGATGGATGGATGGATGGATGGATGGATGGATGGATGGATGGATGGATGGATGATGGATGGATGATGGATGGATGGATGGATGGATGGATTAATGGATGGATGGATGGATGGATGGATGATGGATGGATGATGGATGGATGGATGGATGGATGGATTAATGGATGGATGGATGGATGGATGGATGATGGATGGATGGATGGATGGATGGATGGATGGATGGATGATGGATGGATGGATGGATGATGGATGGATGGATGGATTAATGGATGGATGGATGGATTAATGGATGATGGATGGATGGATGGATGGATGGATGGATGGATGGATGGATGAATGGATG